GGAAGGAAAAGGATTGAGCGACTTTAAATTAAACTGCACCCTCTCCCAGGGTCTTTGGGTTTAATAAGTTTTAAATCAAATGAAAGAATGAATTCATTAAAATTAATGTAAATTCGCTGATGAAAATAAGTTTTAAACCAAATTAAGCACCATCCTCAGTGTGAAATGTTAGCCATCAAGGGGTAGTGGATGATTTTGGAGGGCAGCAAGACTTTTAAATCCGGGCACTGAAATGCCAGACCTTCCGACTCCTGATTCCTCCCACAAAACGTACCCCCTGGTGGTAAGAGGAAGATATGAGCATCTGAAACACTAGTGATGCTGGCTGGACCTGGAGGCAGACAGGCTGCAGCAAGAATGACTGAGATCAGACATAAGGAAGGACTCAGAGAGGGGAGTTCATACATCCCTGATGGATGACTGAGGAGAGATGGAGTTGATGAGTCTTCAGAAGGCAGGCTGTGTGTTCTCTCCACTATCATTTTCCTTTGAATAAATGCACTCTTGTTAGTGGGGTAACATATTAAGAGCATGGCACATGACTCAGGCCCTGATTCTACCAGCTAGCTGTGTGACATGGGACAGTGACTCCACCTCCCTGTGTTCAGTTTCCAAGCTTGTAAAATGGTGTTGAAAGTATCACATGATCTCACGCATATGTGCACTCTAATGAACAAAATAAACTGAGGAACAAAATAGCTCCAGAGTCATGGATGCCTATAGCAGAGGGCAGAACCTCAGAGGGAAGGCAGGGGAGGGTGTGGGGAGGAGGAAGTGATTAACCAAAGAACTTATCTGTAAGCATAACTCATGAACACAGATCACAGGGTAGTGACAGCCTGTGGCAGGGAGCAGGGAGCGGGGGCAGGCTAGAAGGGGCCAATGGGGAGAAAAGGAGACATGTAATACTGCCAACAATAATGGTATTTTTAATATAAAATAAAATGAAATGGTGTTGATATGGAGGGGTTAATTGTCACATGCACATGTTTCACAGCAAATAGGCAAAGTCCCTAAAACTTCTTTTTCCTAATCCAAACTCCTTGCTCTTCAATCATTTCCCATAAAGCCTCCTTTCTAGACCCTGGGTTTCCCGACTCTCTCTAAATGAGCATCTTCAACTTTCTTAAAGCATGTGGCCTTAAACAAGGACAGTGTTTCTGGAGGCTCTGGCAGGGAAGGTTCTCTCTGTGCCATTCTTATGGAAACCAGGGTATACTCAGAGGAGGGTTTTGTGGAGTTTTTTTGTGTTGTTGGTTTTTTTGTTTTTGTTCTTCTTTTTGCAATAAAGGCAATTAGTTAAGTGGATAGCCAATATGATTTCGTTTTTCTAATTTTGTTTGTTTAGAAATCAAATCATAAATAAGAAAGATATGTTTTGTTCCAAGTTGCACAAATATGCTCACTTTAAGCTAGTCTGTCTTCTGAGTATGGGCCTAACATTCTAGCCTTTCCAGATTATTCTGAATTTTTATCCTGTCATACAGAGGTTGTATAGTTCAGAATTGGAAATTGATCCTCTTATTTCCCTCTCTCTCTCTTTCTCTCTCTCTCTTTCTCTCTCTCTTCCTCATCAGAGGATATGTTTTTATTGATTTGAGAGAGAGAGAGGTGGATTAGTTGCCTCCTGTACTTGCCCCAACCAGGATTGAACTGCAGTCTAGGTGTGTGCCCTGACTGGGAATCGAACTCAAAACCTTTTGGTGTCCAGGACAACACTCCAATCAACTGAGCCCCCGGCCAGCGCTTATCCTCTGCTTTGTGGCTGTAAAGAGAGACAGGCAAGGAATTCCCAGGGCTGGCCGATTCCTTCAGCAGCCAGAATCACTCTTTGGAGGTGGCCTCCTCTGGAGACAGCGGCTGTGAGGCCAGAGAGAGGGACCCCACCATCAGACTTCCTGGCGGGTATGCAGTCTTTGACCAGGCAAACAGGACCAAAACTGCCCCTCAAGGGCCCCTGTGGGCTGGCCCCTGGCCCACCGCTCTGGTCAAGATGGACAGGAGGCCGGCCCTGTATCTGAGGGGACACAAAGCCTTCCCACGTGGCGGTTTTTTCCTGCCTTAGGCAAGGGGATGGAGCTCCTGCAGTGATTGAGACGGGATTTCCTGCCAGCTCAGTGGAATGGCAAGCTTGGTTTTAATTGACTTATTGCAAATGAAGGTGACACTTCCTGCACCCCTGGGTTAGCGGCTAATTTATTCCTGAGACGGTTGTAAATTCCCAGCAGGCCTGGAACACAATTCAGATGGATGGGAAATACATATCTGCTTGTTTCCCTTCTCCTTTCATTCCCTCCCTTCTTTAAAAAAAAAAAAAAAAAAAAAAAAAAAAAAAATATATATATATATATATATATATATATATATATATATATATATTATTGATTTCAGAGAGGAAGGGAGAGAGAGAGAGAGAGAGGATGAGTGAGAATCATTGATCAGCTCCCTCATGCACACCACCCCCCACTGGGGATCAAGCCCACAACCCGGGCATGTGCTCTCAGCCAGAACCGAACCTGGAATCCTCAGTCTACAGGCCGACACTCCATCCACTGAACCAAACTGGCCAGGGCTCAAACAGCCTTCTTAAGCACTGTGAAATCTCCTGGCGACAGAGGTGAGAGGACCACCCTGTCCTCCGGAGCCCTGGCCCAGTGAGGGAGACGGGCAGGGCAGCAGCCAGGCGCTGGGCCGGGGTCTCTGGGAGAGGAGGGTGCAGAGGGTGGCAAGCAGGGGACAGAGCCCTGCCTCCTGGGCCAGGCCATTTTCACTGCCTGGTGGTACCTTATGGAGTGCCACCGGGAGTTTGAAAGGTGCTAATGGCAGAGTGGGGCTTGATGAGAGACCACAGAGGAATAAAGTGTGTGACTGAAGTGGAGTTTCTCAGAGCGGGTGTGTGTGTGTGTGTGTGTGTGTGTGTGTGTGTGTGTGTGCGCACTGCTCCCACCTTCAGTCTCCATCCAGGCAACTGCCCCCACCGGGGCCCCTCCCCTGTCTGGCCCTGACTTCCAGTTGCTCATTCACTAGGTTTGCATTTAGTAGGCATCTTCTGGGTACAGACAGCACTGAACTGGGCAAGAATCAGATCAACTGAGAAGAGAGTGGATAAAATGAAAAGTAGCATTAAAAACAAATAAATACGTGCATCTATACATCCATAAAGTGAAAGTGGCAGCATCAGTCCCCAAGTCCCGTGAGGGAAACAGAAACGAGACTGAACGCCCCGCACTTGCTCCTGCAGGAAGGGTGAGGCGCCCCATGTAGGCCCAGGGAACCACAGAGGATGCTCTGACGTGAAGATGCTTGAAAACCATTAAGCAAGGGAGCGAAGGGACGCTCATTGCTTTTTAACCGAGACATAATTGACATGTCACATTACATTAAAAGGACACGCTCATTGCTTTTTAACTGAAAAATAATTGACATGTCACATTACATTACTGTTAAACAAACAAGACAACAAGCCCAAAATGGAGTCACTTATGCTAAGCCCCATGTCACCAAACAAAGATTTAACTTAATTACAGTGTCAGCTCCCCTCGAAATGGAATATTAAAACTCGTCCAGCCAGAGCCCCCTGATCAGCACTAGTTCCTCAAAGTAACCTGCCTGAGAGAGCCCTGCCATTCCCTAAATGAAAGTGACCTTGTCACATCACTTCTGCTAGGACAGCGTCCATGTGCGGCTCCCTCTGCCTTTAAGAGTGTTTCATTTCTGCTGAAACCGGTTTGGCTCAGTGGATAGAGTGTCAGCCTACAGGCTGAAAGGTCCCAGGTTTGATTCCGGTCAAGGGCATGTACCTTGGTTGCTGGCACATCCCCAGTGGGGGATGTGCAAGAGGCAGCTGATGGATGATTCTCTCTCATCGATGTTTCTAACTCTTCATCCCTCTCTCTTTCTCTCTGTAAAAAAATCAATAAAGTATATTTAAAAAAAAAAGTGTTTCATTTCTTACCGCTTCTCAGAGCGCCTCTCTGTGCTACATTGGATGCTGCCTGATTTTTTTAATCATTGAATAAAGCTAATGAGATCTTTAAAATGTGCTCAGGCTGAAACCGGTTTGGCTCAGTGGATAGAGCATCGGCCTGCAGACTCAAGGGTCCCAGGTTCGATTCCGGTCAAAGGCATGCATCTTGGTTGTGGGCACATCCCCAGTAGGTGGTGTGTACAGGAGGCAGCTGATCAGTGTTTCTAACTCTCTATCCCTCTCTCTTCCTCTCTTTAAAAAATCAATAAAATATATATTTTTTAAAAAATAAAAACAATAAAATGTGCTCAGCTGAATTTTGTTTTCAACCTTAGTTTGGGGTGTACAACATAATGATTTGATGCTTGTGTATATTACAAAATGATCACCACGGTCAGTCTAGTTAACACCCATCAGCACACAGGTTCAAACTTTTCTTCTTGCTATGAGAACTTTTAGGATTTGTGGTATTTCAAGTGTGCAATCTCGTATTCACTAACTACGGTTGCCGGTTGCCGTGCTGGGCTTGGCATCCCCAGGACTTGTTTGACAGCGGGGGGCTTGGTGCCTTTTGACCCCCTCGCATCCACATTCTTAAGCTCCGAGGCCAACGTGAAGAGACAATAGAGGAATAGGACATATGAGAAACTTCCCAGGATGCAGGTTGTAAAATGCAGCGTTTTTCCTTTGCACAGATCTCCTGCAGAACCTTTGGAAGCGGTCTCGCCCTGTCCTTTCTCCGCTGCTCGGCGTCTCCTTGTAAGCGAGTAAATTAATAAGTCAGGAGTTAGGACCCAGAGGTCCGTTGGAGCCTCGCAGGACCTGACAGCTGACGGGAAATCAATGAAGTGCACTTCACGAAACATCACCCTGATGTGAGCTGGACAGAGGCTGCTTTCTCCCGCTTCAGGTGTCTGTTCCCCTTGGGCTCCGATTCAGGCTTGGAACCACTGCGCTTCCCTTCCAGAACCCCCTCTCCCGGTGGAAACGCTGTGTGATTAACAGGAAGAAATTTTCCTCTTAACATGACATCATGATGCCGCCGGCAGGTTTTACCCTGGTGCTCGTCCTCCTGGGTGTCACTCCCTCAGGTAAGCTCAGGTTAAACTTTGTCATTGTGGGAGTTATTCAGGCAAGGAGGATGGAACTATGGTGCTGAGAATGTTAGAATTGCAAAGTGTCAGGTATAGGCTCCTTTAGGATAATCTTTAGGATGGGGCTTCGAAGAATAATTCTTTCAAATCTGTAGATCGCTAGAGAAATCATATCCAGGAATCTCACAATGTTTATGCTTTGGTCATTCATCGCGTTATGCCTTTTGAATCATTATGAGCTATTAGGAAGATATAAGAGCAGGGGAAATATTACCACACGCACGGCATGTCACTCAGAGAATGGTTAAAATATTTGGCACAGAAATTTATTGGATTGACATTTTTATATCCTAGCTACTAATAATCATCGTTATCTGTGTAGATGCTTTTATCTAATCCAGCTTTTACACTTATATAAATATTTTAATAATTTTGTGTATATGGGCATATTTAGTATGCTGTACATTACAATGAAACAAAATATGTAGCAAATGTCTGTGAACATGTGTGAGCTTTCTGTGACTATTATCCACCTGAAAATTGAGACATTTTTAATAAAGAGGACAAGTAAAAGGAGTGAGAGGGAAAGAGAGAAAAGAAAAAAAGGAAAGAAGTGGAAAATTGAAAACTTTAGGAGAAAGTGATCTTTTACCCCTGCCGATGTCATTTCACTTTTCATGAAACTTAGGAGCAGTAAGCCCTTCTAGAGCCCCAGAAACCAGGGAGAGCCAGGAGCCACATGGTGAGGACACAGTGCCGCCCATTCCCTTAGCAATCTGTACTTATTTGTCACTAGTATTTCTGCCATGTTTGATTATTGAAATTTTCAGATGGAGAACCAGAGGTTCTGACATAGATTTGCCCAGATCCTTAAACAAATCCTCGATTTATAAGGCGCAAGGCCACGAAGCACACACACACACACACCTAGACGTGATCATATCTTCAACGCTGTAGCCTTTCCCCCTGCTGGGACTCAGAAACAGAGCGGTTTCTAAGCGCAGAGAGCATCAGACCCACCCTCAAATATCACTGCATTTGGTCTCTGCAAAGTCCAAAATGTAATTTGCCGACCATAAAGATAATCGTCAACTTCTGTGTGTGTTAGCATCCAATTAGTGTGCCTGCATCTAATGGTTTTTTTTTTTTTTTTTTTTTTTGCCCTCACTTACTGTGAAAAGATTGATTCTTATCATGTTTTCTCCGGGGAAATCATCTCACTGGTTAGCATGGGGAGGGAGCACAAACCCTCTTGGTTCAACCTATGCAACCTCCTCCACGCACAGGAATGGTTACGTAAAACATTGGATTTGGAGGAGAACTGGCCCCTCTCCCCATGGTGTAGGCTGCAGGAGTCTGAGAGTGAATACTGAGCTGTACACACCGGCCATAGCTCTGTAAGAAATCTATGCAATAACCTAGGAACTCTCATAGTTGTGAATGTTTCTAGATCCACTGGAGTCTATTTCTATATTTAGACCAGCACACCTTTCCTTAAGTTCTTTACTACTCATTGTAAATAAATCATTTCTTTGGGTCACACAAATTGCAAGGAGCCACCCCTCCTTTTTCTATCTCTGGCTGTGGTGAAGAGGATAATGGTGTGTGGCCACGTGACACTTCTTACATTGCTAAATCATGCTCTGTGTGTTTGTGTCTGCTCCCAGAAACAGGAACTGTATCTTACTCATCTTCCCATCGCTCTTGCCACATGATGACGTGTGTTTATTCATTCAATAGATATTGACTGAGGATCTCCTGTACGCTAGGAATGGTTTCAGCATGTGGGATGCAAGAGGGAATAAAGCACAGCCATTCTAATAGCCTCTCCTGCTAGCGAGACTCCATTAACGACGTATATTGGCTTTCACTCTGCAGGCTAGCTCTGTGTGTTAACAGAAAAGGCTACTTGTGCTTGTGGTATGCGTTTGGGGGTGGGGGGAGGGGACAAGGTGGTGATCATGGAAAGCAAAGCCCAAACATACCAAAAGGTGTCAACACAAAAAACGCACGTCTCTCAAACATACCTGCTGAAGTTTGAGATTCTTCGATTATTTATTTACTCTCCCAGCTGAGAGTTAACAATGAAGTGTTGTCTTCAATAAAACCTTCAAAAGTAATCCCGGGGAGTTTCATCTATCGAGTCTTATCAATTACTCCTACCTCGGTGTGAGTGAGTTTGTGAAAATGTTGCTGAAGTGTGGCTATGAGGGTGAGGAGAGAGCAGAGGGGCTGAGAGCTTGGAGAAAGAAAAGGAAACGAGGTCAAGAAAAAAAATAAAGAAAGCATAAGGTCAAGCCATAGGTTCCAAAGAAACATTTCTTTGTCCCGAGCTGCTGCTGGGCGCCTCATCCAAATGAATCTTTCCCGGTTCCACTTACTGGGGTGGAGAGAGCTCTGACCTCCTCACAGGTTGACTCCTGTCCAGTCCCTGGATAGCGTTAGGCACCGTTATCTGGACGCCTGCTCTCTTCAGTAAGTGGCAGCCCGGAGGGAAGGTCTGTCCTCTAATCAATGGTGCATCTTCACCTTCGGCCTTCTTTTGTCTCTTTGGGATAGCCAACACCTGACTTGAATGGGTTACCCTGTGTGGCTGCTTCGTGAAGGTAGAGATCCTAGAAGCTCAGGACGTGTGCGTTGTAGGGCCCTTACCAATCTTCCACTCTGTGTTTTTACTGGGCGAGGTTAGCTGTTTTGCTTAAGATCATGCGGCTTGGAATCAGGACCAGAATTGGTGTCTCTGGATCTGAGTGCAGCGCCTCTCGATGTTAAGTAAATATTTGTTGGATTCTCATTCTAATGAGTGACAAGTTTGGCAGCAGGCTCAGCATCCTGAGCCAAGAGCAGCGCTCCGTGTTGGAGTGTTTTCCCAGCCAGAGTTCCACTTGAAGGAAATATCCAAGGGCTCTCCATCCCTGTCTGTCCGAGGCCCCTGCCTGTGCTCTCTCTCTCTGGTGCCACCTCTCTCTGCCTCTGCCCGTGGAATTGCTTGTCCAGTCCCAAGGGAAATATCTTAAAGAAAAATGAGACAAAGACTAAGCAGGGAGAGGGAGAGGAGAAGAGAAAGGGAGAGACTAGGGTTAGGGGAGAAATAAAATGCCTTTTTACTAAAAGAGATGGTGAAAAGCTTTAAACAGGCAGCACACATCCTCTGAAGATGTGCATGAGACTACGTGTGTGTGTTGGGGGAAGAGGGATGAGCAGGCAAAGCAGAACTCAAAGCAAGGAATTGTGGGAGGACCATGGTCAAGTCTGAAACCAGAAAGCATTGGGTGTCCACCTCCAAGGAGAGTGATCACAGAGAGAGGCCCGGGGAAAGCAGTCTGCCCATGCCAACGGCAGCAGAGGGAGGTTCCTGGAGGATCCGAGGGCATGGTCACCAGCGTTAAGTGTCTCCCTGAGACCAAACGAAGGTGAGCAGTGACCTGGTTTTAGAACATTGTTCCTCCCGGAAACAGGTCGCTTTAAAGAACAGTAAAGTGTTGCCAAAACCAGTTTGGCTCAGTGGATAGAGCATCGGCCTGTGGACTGAAAGGTCCCAGGTTTGATTCTGGTCAAGGGCATGTATCTTGGTTTCTGGCACGTCCCTGTGGGGGGTGTGCAAGAGGCAGCTGATCGAAGATTCTCTCTCATTGATGTTTCTAACTCTCTATTCCTCTCTCTTCCTCTCTGTAAAAAGTCAATAATATATATACTAGAACAGTAAAGTGTTTGGAAAATACAATGCTAACAGCAACACAGCAACAACAATAGCATAGCAGTGAACATCTGTTCATAGATGTGAATTGTTGGGACAGTTTTTATGTGACGGGAAGGAGCCCATAGTGGTAGGAAGTCTTTTGCCTCCTCAATCCTCAGAGTCTCATGAGCTGGTGGAAAGACTGTGGACTTGGGAGTCAGGAGCCACATCCACCACTTATTACCAAATCAGGGTGACCCTGGGCAAGTCACTTCCCTTCTGGGTACCCCTGAACCTTCACCTGTAAAATGAAGGCTTAGATCTTCTTGGAGGTCCTTCCAGTTCTGTTTTCTTTGCCTCTTTATCGATTCACTTTTCCTTCTTCATTAATTAATGCTGAAAGCAATTACGAATATAAATGCTCTCCCATCTTCCCGGTCAGGAAGCTGACTTGGGGGGTGCTTACCCTCAAAGAGAAGCTTCTTGATTTTGTCCATGTATCTTAGTATAATGGCCTTCCCTAATTAATTTAAACTATATTCATTGGCAAAAATACATTCAGGAATGTATTTATTCCTTAACACAGACAACCACCTGTCCTGGTAGTCTTGAGCACATCTGTGATTCTGTATCCTCCAGCGCTGGGAGCCGGGGTCCCACGGCCTTTTCCCCCTTGCATAGAAAGCTCCATTAGGCCTTTTGTGAATTCATTCATTCATTCATTCATTCATTCATTTGTTCATTCACTAAATGTCATCCAATATTTACTGAGGCCCAGGCCTCAAAAAAAATCAATGGTGGAAGTACTTTTTCTTTCTCAGAATGTTCTAGCCTACAAAACAGACCAACCGGAAACATTTCCAGCGCTGTGCTCCATATCTGCTCCAATAACATCACTGGCTCCAGCTTTCATTTTCAGAGAGTTCAGGAAGCTTGAAGATATGAGGCAAAAGCATGACACCACTGGCCTATAGGGTCTGTTTTGGTCAATTCAGACTTGGGGTAGTCAGCATGGGCCACCCTATCAAAATACTGGACTACAGATTGGTGGTGGCTTAACACATTTACCCTCACAGACCTGGAGGTTAGGAATCCATAATCAAGGTGCCAGGAATTCAGTTTCCAGTGAGAACTCTCTTTCTGGCTTGTAAACAGCTGCCTTCTGGCTGTGTCCTCACGTGGCTACTCCTCAGTGCTTGCGTGAAGGGAGGTCCCTAGTCTTTCTTCTCTTCTTACAAGGACATCAATTATGAGGATGAGTAAGGTCCCACCCTGATGATCCCACTTCTCCTGAATGACTTCCTTATAGGCCCTACCTCCACATACAGTCACATTGGATATAATGTGATTTCAACGTGAAGTTGAAGGGACACAAACATTCAACCCATAACAGCCAGTACAGATTTATGTTTCTCTTTCTCTCCCCCTCTCCCCCACCCCCACCCTTGATTCAGATAGCCACTCACCCTCTGACACTGGAAATATGGATCAAAGCATATACAGGTGCCTGAAGGAGCAGATCTGCTCATTTCCCTTTGGGGCCTACTATCCTCAAGGAGGATATAGCTTGAGTGGGGGAGGTGTGACCGATCCTGGGAATGTCAAGGTCCTAATTTTATTTTATTTATTTATTTTTTAAAAATATATTTTATTTTATTTTTTTAAATATATTTTATTGATTTTGTACAGAGAGGAAGGGAGAGAGATAGAGAGCTAGAAACAAGAGAGAGAGTCATCGATCAGCTGCCTCCTGCACACCCCCTATTGGGGATATGCCCGCAACCAAGGTACATGCCCTTGACCGGAATAGAACCCGGGTCCCTTCAGTCCCCAAGCCGACGCTCTATCCATTGAGGCAAACCGGTTTCGGCTTATTTTATTTTTTAAATATATTTTGATTTTTTTCAGAGAGGAAGAGAGAGGGATAGAGAGTTTGAAACATCGTTGAGAGAGAATCATTGATCAGCTGCCTCTTGCACACCCCCTACTGGGGATGTGCCCGCAACCAAGGTACATGCCCTTGACCGGAATTGAACCTGGGACCTTTCAGTCCGCAGGCCGATGCTCTATCCACTGAGCCAAACCGGTTTCAGCAAGGTCCTAATTTTAGAAGCCCCATCCCAACATGCAACCTCACCTTCCTTCAAAATGAGAGTAAAATTCTCCTGCCAGGAAAGAGATCTCTTTCATATCCCAAATTATAATGGCTCAGGGTTGTCCATGCTAAGGTGTGTGTGTGTGTGTGTGTGTGTACATGCATGCATGCGTCTTGGTAAAGACATTATTCAGTGTCTCCGCTCCCTGGAGTGTCTCCATCTGTTGTGAGATGCTGTCTTGTAAAATATTTACTCATTGGGCTGAGTTGGGACACAGCTGCTTTCGGGGAAAGCCAGTACTCTGCCACTCTCAGAAGTTGAAACTGCTCTCAGATGCACGTGACAGTGGCCCCAGCAGCTTAGCTAAATAGGGGGATTGCTTTTCTCACACACACACCGTGAAATTTAGAGGAAGGCAGTCCAGGGCTGCTGGGGCCATCCTGCAATGCCATCAGGGACCCAGATTGCATCAGGCTTTCTTTTCTTTTTTTTTAAATATATTTTATTGATTTTGTACAGAGAGGAAGGGAGAGAGATAGAGAGTTAGAAACATCGATGAGAGAGAGTCATCGATCAGCTGCCTCTTGCACACCCCCTACAGGGGATATGCCTGCAACCAAGGTACATGCCCTTGACCGGAATCAAACCGGGACCTTTCAGTCCCCAAGCCAACGCTCTATCCATTGAGCCAAACCGGTTTCAGCTGCATCAGGCTTTCTATCCTGCCCGCATGTATGTGCTGCTTTCATCAGGCTCACTTGCATGTTTGGGTGGCTAATTCTCTAGGCACCGTGTCCCAGTTCCAGGAAGGAAGAAGAAAGGGCAAAGGGTAAAAGATAAAAGGCGAAAAGATACACGTTGGACTGAGTCCATTCTCTTGAGTGGACCTCACTCAGTGCCTTCTGTTTATTTCCTACTTGGACACAGGGGTCATACAGCCATTTCTCGCTGTAAGGGGGCCTGAGAGGGAACATTTTAAGAGGGCAAAATTTAGCATCGGGCAGTAAGTAAGAAGGGGTAAATGGCTGTTGGACAGGGAACTAACAGTGTCTGCCACAAACAATCTCCCCTTGAAGGGGAAGCCAGAGAAAAGAAGACAGCTGTGGCCCTCCTGCTTCTCTCTTCTCCCTAGCAGTTCAGCTCTGGCCCAAACTCTCCAAACACTGCTCAGCAAACAAAAGCCAAGCAGCTAACTGCATTGTTATTCAACGTTGTTTTTAGCTCAGCAGCCATTGTGTGCCAAGCAGTGCCCATAGGAGCAAGGGAGAAAGACCTAGAGCTGGCATTTCCTAGTGGATCAGACAGACAATAAACAAATAAACATATAACATGATCAAGCCTCTGACAGAAGAGAAATTTCCATAAAGGGATAGAGTGTCGGGGAGAGATCTTTAGATCCTGTAGCCTGGAACAACCTCTTTAAGAAGAAGGCATTGGAACGAGGAAGGGTGAAAGTGAAGGAATGAGTGTGGGGCAAGAGCCTTCCAGTGGCACCACACTGGCCTATTCTGTAAAGAGCAGATGGGCCTGAGGCACTAGGAGGGGTGGGGTGGGGGGAGCGCGGGGCGTGAGGGGAGGCAGAGGGGAGAGGGGAGCAGCCACAGAGGGCCTGAGAGACCGTGGTAACAACTTGGGATGTTTTTCCTAAATTTGATGGGAAGCTACTTGGTGGGTTTGAGCAGGAACCAACATGCTTTTCAGCTTTGAAGAGATGTCTCCAGCTGCTGGGCAGGAAATGGACTGTGAAAGGAACAAGAGTGGGAGAAGGTAGGAAGCAGAACTGGAATCCGAGAGAGAGAGAGAGAGAGAAAGAGAGAGAGAGAGAGAGAGAGAGAGAGAGAGATGACGGAGTTCGGTGGCGATCCCCAGGGAGATGGTGGGAAGCAGTCACTGCGGTGATGGATTCTGAAGGAAGTCAGACGGGGTGTGGGGTGGGGAGACTCGGGAGATGCAGCCTGAACAATGAACACCTCTTCCCTCCGAAGGCTTCCGGGAATTTCCATCCCCTCCCTCCCGCTCCGTTTCCAGGAAGGTTCTAGGGCCTTTACAGAGCGCTGCCCTGGCAGCCGCCCAGCTCTGCTTGCTGAGAGTGTTGAAGCATCAAAGTTTAAATAAATAAGCATACATATAAGGTTTTATCTCTCTCCATCGCTCATTTGCATTTTAATACGCTTTCTAAAGCGAAGGAGAAAAGCGTGGAGGCCGGCACAAAGCCTTTACCATCCATACCCCTGTTCACTCCAAGGAGCCACGTGGGTGCATTTTGAATTTCCACTCCCTTAGTAAGTGGACGGTGTCATGCACATGTGGGGATTGTGTGCCATTATGCTTTTCTTCCTACGAGGAACTTTGGGGTTTTGACCTGGTAAAGTTGGGGGGTGTCCTGCATGTGATCATTTCTCATAATGTGTATCTCTCAGTGGGGAGAAAAAGTTTTCTATGGTAAAGCATGCCATGCAGGATGCATGGCTGTAGGATATATAGGATGTCAACTATATGAAATATACTTAAAGCAACAACAAAGAACTTCCTTGTTAAATTTGATAGCATAGCACTGAAAAAGAGACAAAACATATCTCTAGACTGCATTCCTGGAGAGTTAAAAGTTGGAATTAGAGAGTTTTTCCGATTCCCCCACATTTAGGGGCAGAGAAGAGCTGTGGACCCGGGTGGACCAGGGAAGGTCTTCATGAAGGAAGACATTCTCAGGAGGAAGTGAGAGAACCGCACAGGGACCATGGTGGGGTTGAGTGGGTATGTGCTGGAGGCCTGGAAAGTGGTCCTGACACACTCCCTTCATCGGTACATTCATTAAATGGGTATAAAATGAGCACCTGCTAGGGGCCAGGCACTGTCCTAGGTACTGAATAAGCTTCATCAAATAAAACAGACATTGTGCCAGCCATCATGGAGCTCAAGGGGAGGACGGACAATGACAAATACTGTAAACAACGAATTGTGATAAGATGTGCTGAAACCGGTTTGGCTCAATGGATAGAGTGTCAGCCTGTGGACTGAAAGGTCCCAGGTTCGATTCCAGTCAAGGGCATGAAACTTGGTTGCAGGCACATCCCCTATGGGGGGCATGCAGGAGGCAGCTGATTGATGTTTCTAACTCTCTCTCTTTTCCTCTCTGTAAAAAAAAACAACAATATATATATATTTTTAAATTGTGATAAGATGTATGAAGAGGCAGTGATGAACAATAACACCTGGACAGAGCCCATGTCTGTAAGGAGGTGAACTGTGAGGTGGAGAGTCAGGGGGTGACTGCAGATGATCTTTTGAGGTCAAGGTGTTGACCTCATGATGTGAAGTTCCTGTGAGAGTCAAGTTCTGGGTTAAGTTTACAGTCGACTTTTAGCCGTGCCTTGTGGGCATGGAGAATGGTTAAAGAGAACCCTGGCACCCTCAAATCTGTCTTTGCTGAATTAGACTGTGTGGGAATACAAGGTGTCCCACCCCAAAATGTGTACACACTTTAACAGCTGACGGTTCAATTTTGAAAATGAAAGGTATTTTCATAAACACCGCCTTTATAATTACTTAATGTGTGTATACCTTCTTGGGGGGACGCCCTGTGTGTGAAAGTTCAGCAATAGGATGCGAAAGCAACCGTGATGCCTCTCCCATTAACTCAGGTTCCCTTGTGATTCTAGCAGCAGCCGCAGAATTCAGTTCCATCGCCGAAACCGAAGACGCTCTCCTCAGGCATTTGTTCCAAGGTTATCAGAAGTGGGTTCGCCCTGTGTTCCATTCTAACGACACCATAAAAGTCCACTTTGGATTGAAAATATCTCAGCTTGTCGATGTGGTGAGTAATCCTTGACACGAACCCAAGAAGGACATGCATTCCTTAACCTGTTTGTGAGCCTGAGGTTTTGTTTTGCTTTCTTTCCCCACGGCTGCCATTTCGATTTTAAAAATAACTTACTGGGGCGGGGGGAGAAAATCTGCCCCAAGAAGCCAGTGAAATGACCCGAGGAAAGAATGAGGAGTGTCACGGAGTGCATTTTCACTGCGGCACCATTTGTGAGGGCCTTCCTGCTGGAGGGTGGGTATGGTGGCGAGGATGGATGGGCATGACTGCTGACGGGTTTGCCGTGGGCACCCGGGGTGAAGAGCAGGGGCAGAGGAGAAGGAGAGCTGAACCCACGCTCATCCAGAGTCCTCTCAGCTGAGGGAGGGCTGGCAGGGGCCAATGCAAGGAGAGAGGGCAGGTAGACCCAGTTCCTAGGCAATCCCACCATCCTCCTGGGGCACCTCAAGCCCCCGTACCTTTCCCTGGCCTCACCCATACTTCAGGATTCTCTGCTAATTTTCTTGCTGAGCTCGTACTTCTGCCATGAATGCATTTCTGGTAAATTGGTGAACTGTAACAACCCAAATCCTGCAAAATCATCCTGCTATGGTCCCAAAAGTCCCAGAATAATCATCCCACATTACCCAAACCCCCACCCACCACACACACACACACCCAAGCTGACTCTATGCCCAGGAGTCCTTCTAGAAAATCGTGCACAGCCCATCTCCAATTTAGTTAATATTTAATTCTACTTGGCATCCCGAAAGTGCTTCCTGGGTTGTGCAATTATATATAAACTAGTAGCCCTGTGCACCAGTAGCCAGTAGGTTGCTGCCACCCTGCTGTAGTTCCCCCCTCCCCCAGCTCGTAGCTTGCTGCCCTGCCCCTCCTGTAGCTCTCCACCACCTTCTTGTAGTTCGCTGACCCACCCTCCTGCAGATCCCTGAGCAGGTCATTACTCAGTTGGTTGTTATGGATACTATGTTTCCCCGAAAATAAGACATCCTCTGAAAATAAGACCTACTTGCAGGTTTTCTTCTGAGTGAAATATAAGGCATCCCCCGAAAGTAAGGCTTCCCTAGGCTCTGTCTCAGAATGCTATTGCTAAACATGAGAGATTTGGTCCACTGATTCTGAAAGAAATGAAGTCAGAAGAAATTCACCAGGAAATTCAGGAATTGGATTGTTATGATGATGTTCCAGAAGATGATGACAGGATTGTCATTGAATAAATGAGTAAATTCTTGATACTGTAGGATTCACAATTTGTCTGGTTTGTGTTGACAACTACCGTACTGCCTTACCGTATACAGGTAATAAATTTCCTTTATTTTCATTTAACAATAAATGTGTACCGTATTCTTCTTCATGGAAAGATAAGACATCCCCTGAAAATAAGACCTAGCTCATCTTTGGGAGCAAAAATTAATATAAGACACAGTCTTATTTTGGGGGAAACAGGGTAGATAGGATATATAGGATACCACCACAATGAACCGCTACTTGCTTCGATTATTTTTTTCATTTTAAGCAAGATATGCATAATATTTTAGGATCCATGCATTTAACTTCTTAAGTTGAGAATTCTTTACATTTTGAACACCTCAAAGGTAAGATTCAGAGAGGTCATTCTGACCAAAAAAAAAATGCAACTTCACTTAAACTGAATTTACATCTTTTTAATTGTCATTTTCTTAGGATGAAAAGAACCAACTGATGACAACAAATGTGTGGCTCAAACAGGTAAATGTCAACTCAAGAACTGTACTTGCCAACCTACTCATTTCCATTCTTTAGAAAGGCTCCCATTCAAAAAGTAATTATTTTAAAGAGTATATGGGGTTCTTTCTTAAATTTACTTTTTTAATATGTTTTTTGTTGATTTTTAGAGAGAATGAAAGGGAGAGAGGGAGAGAGGGAGAGAGAGAAAGAGAGAGAGAGAGAGAGAGAGAGAGAGAGAGAGCGCGAAAGAGAGAGAGAGAAACATTAGTGGTTTGCCTTCTGTATGACACCCCAACTGGGGATTGAACCCACAACCTTTTGGTGTATGGGATGATTCTCAAACTAAGACAGGGTGGGTCTATAATTTTTTTTAAACTTTCTTTTGCAAGAGTCAGAAAGCAGGTCTTGAGCACTCACAGCAATGCCTTCTGCTGTTGTTGTTCCTTCTGTTGGACTGTACACTGGGTGGGTGGTGAAAAGATGGCTAATCATGAGACCTGGGCACCAGACCCTGAGTGAAAAGGGGGTAAAGGATCCGGGGTGCGACGTTTGCCCATTGAAGGTACTGCACCTGGATGAGAAAATGGATGACGTTAAGTTCTCCCTCACTACACTGGTCCTCCCTGGGAAAAACCTGCCCCCAGGTGTCTTGTGGCTCCCTACGGAGAGAAAGCAGGAAATGACAGGAGGAGTCCGCCACCAGTTTCAGGATAAAGAGTCACCTCAAACAAAGCAATGAACATGGTTTTCTGATATAACTGAACACGTGTTTGAATGGTCTTCAGCGCTCTGCCTAGGTCCGTGGTCCACAAACTGCGGATCGCGAGCCTCAGTGTGCCGCTCTGTTGACTAATGACTTTGCCCACCACTGACTGACCTAGACTCTCTATTCCAATAATTACAGGCTATTGTTGTTCCTTGTGATTAAGCTCCTATCCCAGTGGTCAGCACAGTTTGTCGACCAGTGGGTGATTGCTTTAGCTCAACTACTCCTGTTTCCTAAACTTGTTCTCAAGTTGTCAGAAAATCATTACCTTTCAAACCCCGACGTTATCTGAAAGGAGAAAATATTGGCACTTCCTTGATAGGAGGCAAGAAGGCTGGTTTAATTGCTAATTTTTTGTTTTTATTAGCAATTACTCATTTTTTAATGAATGGTCAGATACCACCCAATCTCCCATAGATTTAAAATCTTCTTGGTGGCACTGTCTTAAATATCTCGCTTAGTTTTAACGTGCAAACATAATACTGTTGATTTCTTTATATTGAAATAAGTTATTTATTCATTCTGATTTAGCAGACATTGTTTAGATCTCTCTGCTAATAGTTTATAAGGAACAATGGATAAAGGGAGCTGTGAGGAGAATCCACAAGCTTCGTTTAGTGTCATCAAGTTGCTTCCACCCAAAAGCTTTGATCAGTGAGAGCATATTTACTGCTTTCAGTTTCTATGGTTCTTTAATTGGCCGCTATGTTAGCAACCTATGAGATAGATATGCATATTATTTTAATTGCAAATAAAGGTCTTCAGGAGAAAATAATAAGCTGAGAGTGTAGCTATAAAAATATAATCTAAATATAATCCGTATTCTCCTACATACTTATCTCTAGCCTTGGAGACTTATCCCACTTTTGCACTTTAGAGGCTGTGGAATTTGGAGGTATTTTGAGTTAACAAAAATGAAAAAGAAGTCCTATGTTTGAACTTGCAGGGGAGAGCAGAAAAACTTCCCTGTAAATAGGCTGAGGAAGAAAAATAAAACAGCAAACAAACTTGCTGCCTCACACACTCCTCCTTCTCCAACTGCTCCTCACAGTTAAGCTTTTTTTGATGAAACGTTGATCCAGAGACCCTTGTCCTGTGAAACTGAGATAGTGGGTGCCTTATACTTTCTTGAGATTTTGAAAGCAAGAAAACGTCAGCCAAAGAGCACAGTTAGACATGAAGGGAAGAAGCCTTGGGGGCTGTCAGGCCTTCACTGAAGCTTTGGAAATGGCTTCCAGCAGTGACGCCACCAGAATCAGTGACCTGGAGAATGCCTCCAGGTCAGGACAGAATCAAAATCTAAAACCTCCAACAAAACGGAGCAGGAGAGATCCGTAGGAGTGGGGCCATCTGGCACCTGGAAAAGCCAACCTGCTGACTGTGGCCCCCACGCCATAGACTTGGATTGCATTTTGTGTGCAGAGGGTTGTCGCATCTCTTACCTCATCTACATTCTCAGCCACTCTTGATTAGCAAAGCAGGCACCATTGTCCACGTTTACAGAGACAGAGAACCTAGTAGCTCATCCGGCTGGAACCTGGGTTTCCCTGGTTTGGGCCTTCTCTGCCACACCCAGCCTTGGCACTATAAACATTAAGACCTGTTTCCAAATCATAGGAGGAGTCAGAGTAGCAAAACAACTGCACGTTTCATAGAATCGAAAAGAAAATGATGAAAGCTGCTCCACTCACACAAACTGGATTAGGAGTGGAATGTCATAACAAAAGGCTGATATGCAAATTGTCCCCTCCACCAGGTGTTTGACCTGGAGTTCCACCAGCCCATGGCCCCTCCCCCAGGCCTACTCCACCCTGATTAGTCCCCCCCCCCCCAATCGGGGACGGGGCCAGCCGGCCAACTGTTTGTGGCCACTCCCCCCACTCGCCCCACCCCCTTTTGGCCTCCCCACCCCAATTGGGGGTAGAGCCGGCCAGACCCCACCAGTGCACAAAGTTGTACACTGGGCCTCTAGTTAGTTAATAAGTGCTATCTTATGGCACAAACAATACAGGAGCAAAAAAGGATGAATTCTATGGCATGAGTGACAGGCTGCATGGAATAGGAGGCATTTGAACTCTGCCATGATGTGGCTTTATGGGGTTTAAAAAAATTTTTTTTAAATATTTTTAAGGGTGAAGGAAAGATGAAGGGTACAAGAAAAATGGACAATGAAAACAATAAAACTGATGTAAAAAGAAAAGCAATCATTGGCGTTTTACATAGATCTCAGTTTCAGAGCAGCTAATAACAATAATACCTAATATTGATTGACTGCTAAGTGCTTAGGCACTATGCTAGGTGTTTCATGAGAAAGAACTCAGTTAATTCTCACAGCCACCTTATAAATTAAGCTCTGTTAGGATTCCCACTTTGCAGATGGGAAAACTAAGGACTGGCAAATTGAACTGTCCAATTTCCACACTGCTGAGTGAAGTCTGGCTTATATAGAGAAATCCTTCCCTTCCTCAGACGGGAAGGAGTTGAGGGAAGACACCCAGTTCTCACAGTGTTATCTGTCTCTGATAGGCTAGTTTCTCATCCTGTCTTCAAAGGCATGGATTTCTCAGTCTCTAGGACATTCATGAGCTTGGTCTAGAAAGACAGGAGAGAATGAAGTAAGGATTCATAGCATCTTTCATTCATTGCACAGGGTTTATTGAGAGTTTGCTAAGTGTCAGGTGCTCTGCTAGATCTTGTACACACAAAGAATACAAAACAGCCCTGCCTTTAAGGAGAGAAGACAGTTTTAATTGTGTTAAAAACAACAACAACAAACTACTGTAATATGATAAACACTATGAAGAAAGTACACATAAAGAACTGTGAAAAATGAGACAGGGAGAAAATCAGGGAGGGCTTCCAAGGGGAGGAGATATTTAAACTGGGTCTTACAGAATCGATAGCCAAAAAGGTGGGGAAGTTGTGAGTCACCTGAATAGCATTCCCGGTAACAAGACTTTCCAAAGCTCTCACACTGGAGCAAACCTCTTGGAAATTCTTTCCCTGAATAACTCTGCTAAATGTACTCTCTAATTTATATCTATGGAGAGGATAAAATGCGACATAATTGGAACAAAAGTATGTTCCATGGTAGCATACGCAACCGAGATACTTGTTTATTTGTGCTATTGAGGTCGTTTGTTTTTTCTTTCTCCCAATTCTTCTGTCTTATCCTCTATTTCATAGTTCTTGGTTATATTTAGGCATTTCTTTCCTCTCACGTACAAATTTAGAGACATCCGGAGAAAGTCCTTTACGTGGACCTATTTTTACTTTTCTTTATTGATTTTATTTTGCAAATTCATTTGTCTTCCTCCTTTGTGCTCCCAGAGAGAAATCCAAACCCTACACATTATAAATAGGCTATAACATTGATTCACGGAAACTGTGTGAGAAGGCACTTAATGCCCTAGCCACTCAGATTCTGCTTTGTCATGTTCAGGGCTTTAAAAAAACAAAACAACAACAACAAAAACTGCATCGCAAGCACCTTACACGTAATGGAAATGGAACCAACCTTTCATGATGACCCAAGGGTCCGACCCTTTGGTGAGATGGTGCTATTTGAATAATCACTATGATGACAGATGTCAACTCTACTCACTCAACAAGCACCTACTGAGCAAGCACCTACTCTGTGTTGGGCACCGGACTAGGCACTGTAGGGTAAACACCAATAAGACAATAAGATTCTGAGTGAGCTGGCTTCACTGTAGCTGGAACCATTTGCTCTCCTCTCCCCGTGAGGATCCCAAGGAAAAATAGGGCTGCTTTAATGTCTACCAAGGCCGACATCTTAAACTAGTGTTGTTCCTCCAACAACTGATTCCTGTTTTAGGTCAACAAGAAGTTCAGCAAACAAAAGGAAGGCCTCTTTGGATAGATCCCTGGGGCTGGTCTTGGAGGAGACATCAACAAACCTGCTATAGAAGAGACCGCCTTGCTGTCAATGTCTGAGCAAGCTCCTCAGAGCCTAATTTTCTTGTACGAACTACAGTGGCACGTCCAAGTCCATGAATTCATCCCAGACCTTTACGTACTCACCATCTTATTTTCCTACCTTTTCCATAGCCTCACCCCAATCTTAGCAAAATAGGCCAGTTTGGCCTTCTGATTCAAGTGGAGCCTGAATAGTAATCAAGCAGAAGTTTAGGTGCCTGCTATATTAATGTGGGCAACTTATTTCACTTTTCTGACCCTCAATCTCTTCATCTATAAAACAGAAGCAATATCTAGCGCACAGAGTCCTTGGAAT